TCTCTCTCTCTCTCTCTCTCTCTCTCTCTCTCTCTCTCTCTCTCTTTCTATTCCTGTTTTTTTTTGTTTTCTGAAAATTCAGTACCAAAAAATAAATCTATTTTTCTTGTCCTCGTATCGAACACATCGTTTTTCCTACGACCTCCTCGATATCACGAGTGGACACGGTGTATTGAATTGGAACTGCAAACAAAAATATAATATACAATTTCGGAGGATAAATGTAACTGTAACCTGTTGCGAGAAAGAGATTCCGGATACCATTGTCCCACGATACGTATTGAACGCGCTACGTGTACACGTACTATGCTTGACGTTATTATTCTTGGAAATGTATTTACATTTAGTGCGGCAAAATTCGACGGGAATAATATATTCAGAAATGTGTCAAATGTGTAATAGAACAAGCCCCTCAACTGATAGCGACCGCCAGGGGGGAGGGGGGACAGACAGGACTATCGAGTTCGCGGTCGCTCACGAGTCGCCTCTGCTTTCTCTCTCTTTAGTCGAGCCGCGTCCTGGAAGCGGAGAGATGGTTCCTGAGGGCCCGCAGGTTAGCGCCGGACGACCCCAGCGTGCACCACCATTACGGTAAGCCGCGACCGAAAGCTCCTTTAATTGCGATCACGGGCAGAACGTCGTCGTTGTCGTCGTCGTTGTCGTCGTCATCGTCGCCGACGGCCGGAATTCGACAGTAGACTCCCCGATTACTGCCTTCCACTTCGTCTTTTCATCATTGTGCTTCCTCTCTCGCCCCTGTCCCTCCAAACGGGGCTCGCAGTTCACCTTCCGACCGCGTCGTAATTTAAATATCTAATGCCTGTATTTGTAGTCGTCGCGGCCGGTGATAAGGGATCCTATCGTCTCTTTCTCTCCTCGTTCATTATTAAAGCAATGAAATACGCTCTCTTAAGCACCCCGCCTTTTCGCTCGCCGAATGCACCCCCCGAGAACCCGCCACTCCTTCACCGCAGTAGCAGAGACCCATTGTAACAACAGTATAATTGATTCCCGATTCCCGAATCCGTTCTGAAAAGGAGTCCTCGAAGTTTCCTCCGATCGGAGTGAGGTGGAACCGCGAGGGATAGTGAAAGAGAGAGAAAGTAGTGGAGGGGCGGGAGAAAGAGAGAATCAAAGAACAAAGATTCGAAGAGTCGCTTAATAGGAGGGAGAGATAAGAGGATCGCCGATTCGTCGAGTCGCTATAAATACCGCTGCAATATTTCCTGCGGAATGATAGTAGATTTGCTGGGGAAGGGAAGTGGACAGTGGCTAATCGAAAAGAAGAACGGTTACCACGGGGCACAGAGGTGAATCGAGGTGCGGGGGATGGGAGTGGATGGGTAAGATCGACGGGTATTGAAATTCCAGGGGAACATGACGGCATCCCGGGACCCCGCGCGCGTTAATTCGGACCGACGAGTTCCATCTGAGCAATTCCGCCTCGCGGCCCGCTGCATCCTTTTTCCTCTAGTTCGGTATGCAGCTTTTATCGTAGCGGATGCAGCATATTAAATTGAACGTTTAGTTCTCACTTAGTTTAATCCAGAATAAATGAGATAATTTGATTTCTCATATCTTTGTCAAAGAGGCGATACGAGTGTTTCGCGTTTCTACCTTAATGCTGATCAACACCAAATTTTCGCGTTTCAGTAAAACTTGTTGCGATTATCTGGAAAACTTTCACAAGTATCCATCCATGGTATATCCTTCCGTGTAGTTGCACTCTCCAATTTCTCCACGTTGCTTTCTCCAAAACTTCCCAAAAGTTCACGAAGCTCTCCGAAAACATTTCATAGATATTATATAGGTAAATAACGAGTCTACAGGACGATTCATTTGCTTGTAAGATAAACTTTCAGGATCGTCACAATGTGAGACAATTGATAGTGGAAATTTTACAATTTTAGAATCACATTTATGGAGAAAATATATGAATTAATCATTAAATTTACAATAATTATACAAAACAGAACATGTTAAAGTATTATAATTTAATTTGCAAAGAAATATACATATGAAAATTAAAGATAAGCGATCTTTAATTTTGAGTCAAGCATTACGTTAATTGGTATTTTTTCAAATTCTTTTGTTAACAACTATTTAATAAATAATGAGCAATGGTTAAAAGTTCTTATAGGCCATTTAGAAAATCATAACTTCAAGTTATTTGAAAATCGTTAAAATTGATGAAATCGGTTCTATTCGGCATAATTACCAAATTTACATCATACAATGCTGTAAAAGTTTTTTATTATATTGACGCAGCAACTAATAGATAAAAAGTTATTCTCAGACTTTCGTATTACATTTTATATAACATGTTATTCTGAGTATAAATTCAGATAATACAGGTTTGCATAATAGAGGGTCTAAGACATAAATATTTAAAAAAATTTTAATGTTTCTAAAATAAACATATAAAGTTTACTGCCATTTTTGACATATTTAACCTCATTTACCCCAGAAACCTGACGTGATGGGCAAATTCTGTGTGTGTGTGTGTGTGTGTGTGTGTGTGTGTGTGTGTGTGTGTGTGTGTGTGTGTGTGTGTGTGTGTGTGTGTGTGTGTGTGTGTGTGTGTGTGTGTGTGTGTGTGTGTGTGTGTGTGTGTGTGTGTGTGTGTGTGTGTGTGTGTGTGTGTGTGTGTGTGTGTGTGTGTGTGTGTGTGTGTGTGTGTGTGTGTGTGTGTGTGTGTGTGTGTGTGTGTGTGTGTGTGTGTGTGTGTGTGTGTGTGTGTGTGTGTGTGTGTGTGTGTGTGTGTGTGTGTGTGTGTGTGTGTGTGTGTGTGTGTGTGTGTGTGTGTGTGTGTGTGTGTGTGTGTGTGTGTGTGTGTGTGTGTGTGTGTGTGTGTGTGTGTGTGTGTGTGTGTGTGTGTGTGTGTGTGTGTGTGTGTGTGTGTGTGTGTGTGTGTGTGTGTGTGTGTGTGTGTGTGTGTGTGTGTGTGTGTGTGTGTGTGTGTGTGTGTGTGTGTGTGTGTGTGAGAATCTAGATTTGGATTCAGCGCACGAAAGTATGTAGGAAACCATTGTCAAATCTGAAATATCAAAATCATGTAAGCCTGTGTAATTCCTTTCGCGCGTATTTCTATTTCGTCATTCTTTGTGAGAAACGTAAGTGTCATGTGAAGCACTTATAAGCGACACTACCGTCATACTTAGCGCAATGTAAGACGAGTGAAGTTGCTGACCAAATTTTATATACATCAGTCTATCTGGGGGGAATGTATACACACGACATGTATCGCGCGCTCAAAGACGTCACGCGCGCCAGGATCGATACCATGACTGTAACGTCTCGCTGTAAAATTTTCAGGGCTGTTCCTGACGTCGCAGGGTCGACTGGTGGAAGCCGCCGAGGAGCAGCTGCGAGCGGCCGAGCTGTCGCAGTCCGACTACGAGCTGTCCGTCGCGGCGGCCTCGGCGCTGAGGCAGGCCGATCGTCGCGAAGAGGCCGAGGTCTGGTACCGACACGCGGCCAGCCTCAGGCCGCACGAGGCTCGCAGTCACACGAACCTCGGCGCGATCCTACACCTGAACGGCAAGTACAAGCAGGCCGCCGCGGCGTACAGGGAGGCTCTCAGGTTGCAGCCGGGTGACGCGACGACCATAACGAATCTGCACAAACTCGCGGCGATCTTGGCGTGACCTGAACGAGCCGGCGACGACGCAGGTGGTGACGGACAAGCGAGAGAAGAAGACGAAGAGGCGAGGAGAGACGAGAGACGGCGAGCACGAAGATGGTGTGTGTATCATACGACCCCCGCGCGCGGCGAGGAGGAGGACCCCTTCTTACCGACTTTACCGTGTACCCCGAGAACTCCCACTGACCCGATCTTCCTACCGATATTCGTTTATATCTCTGCGTCGGTGACACGCGCGTTCATGTCGACGTCGTTCGCGTCGACGTCGCGCGACCGACTCGTATCGCCTGCTATGGTATGTAAAGAATAAAGCTTCCTTTATTTTTCTCTAATACACGACGGTATATTGCATTATTTATACGAAACCTCCCATTTCCCGTAGATTAGTAAAGCGCAAAAGAATACCAAGTCAGGAAATGTCGTATGTTAAATATTTCTGGTGCACTGAGAGAAAAAAATTGGGGTTGACTTAACTAAAATTATAATTATTTTTTGTCTCAACCATATTTTTTGGTCGTTTCAATATGAGAATGGTAACATACATGTAAAGTTATTATCACCAAACGGAAGATTATAATAGAATTTAATAAAAGAAATTGTTTCCTTAACCATAAATTATAGTAATTATTCTTATATGTAATTATTATTACAAATACCAAACATTTTTCCTCAGTGTATAGGAAGAAATAATCGAAGTTTCTTTAAGCCTCCGCGTACACCAAAATAAATATTTGTGTTTTTTATTTGTTAATAATGAATTAAAAATATTTTATATTATTTGTTAAAGAGTGTTAAGTTCTAGCCGGATTCGCAATGTGCGAGATCTGTGTAGGAAGATGTGTGCTCTATCTATGGAAGATGCGTGCGAAATCTATCGTAACGAAGCTATCGAGAGGTTAAAGTTTTTATATGCATCTAAACATTTTTCATATAAGTTCCGTTTTTAGCATATTTATCGACAAAAATGTAAAAACACAAATTTAATAAAAAAAAATTAACTTTTTGAAAATAGTGTCACAAAGTATTTTGCAAAAAGTTAATAAATATATTAATTTTACAATGACAATATTTTGTAATTTCAAATCTTTTTGTAAAATCTTTTAGTAAAACCTTTTTGGGATTTTATTTCAATATCTTGATTTTAAAAAATATATCGATTTTATTAAAAAAACTGATTTTTCTTATTTTATAAGAAATATTTTGTCAATTATTTCAAAATAACGCAAATTTTTTTGCAGTTTTTTATCTTATTGCGCTACTATTTTATAGCTGAGGCTTTTCTATATCTTTAGAAAAAAGTGTCTAAAAATATTGATTTTCAACGAAGTCATGGCAGTTCGAAATTGTCCAGTCTGACAAACCTAGATTGTACCCCAAACAGCATAAGAACTTCTGAGAACGTTCTAGGAACATTCTGAAATTATTAAGACATCTTTAAAACGTACTCAGGATGTCCTCTGGATATCTGTGCTATTAGGGACTGTATTCTTTTAAAGTGAATTAGTGAAATATTATTGAAAGCACTAAATATACACTGATTTATAGCTATAAGTATAGTATTGAAACTGCTCAGTGCTATACTTATAACTAATATTAGTGACTATCCACTGATTCACTTTAAGAGTATATGTCCTAAAAAATATGGTTGTCCGCGGAGGGTAAACATGTTCCGTGCTCTTGTTATCCGTGATCTATGCTGAAATTTTACGTTTGATATTGGCCTATGAAATACGAAATATAATTGCGAAATAATCTTATAATTATTATAAGACACGTGTTACTTAACAAATAAAATGCAGCTTAATATGACAATGTGGATAACCGGAGATGCACGCGGCATGGATGACAAGTCATATAAAATGTAAAATTGGTCTGGCACATAGTGTTAAACGCCAAACTTTTACGTATAAATAGATAGAATACTATCCTATTTTTTAAATCACAAGGAATTATATGAATGTATATGCACAAGAAAAGCCAACGGAAGCTGTCCATTGATTCGTCTTAATGGACTCCTTCACATTTCTCTCGACGCGAAATATCTCGGCTGGTACTCACCACACACACAGCATACATGCAAAGAAAGAAGGTAAGTCCATCGACTTGCTAAGAGCAAATCGATAATTATTTCGAGCCGGGATACTTAGCGTCACCGTGCCGTCACTCGACCACCGACAAATCAATTGGCCTAAAATGGAAAAAAAAGACATGGAAGTCAGATTGAAACGTCTTGAGGCGTCGTTCGAGAGGATTACTTGCGACTTCTTTGATCGAACTTTCGATGCGACAACCGCGGGAATTCTCTCCGGTGAATACTACTTTAATTTTAATATTATTTTCTCTCTTCTCCCACCCCGCCACCGGTTAACGCTGTATTTTACCGTACCCGTGTGTACTTATAATTCATTGTTACATTTATGAACTTATAATTCATTGTTACATTTATTATATCAATTCTTGTATCTCGTGGACAGTTCGCTGGCGGTTTTATTATCTCGTTATTAGTTATGCAAAATATATTAGGCGAAATAGCTTAAGAAAGTCTCCGCTGAGATTTGCCGCGACGGATATCCGAATATCCCTCGACGCCCCTCTTCCCTTTCTCTCTCTCTCTTCCTCGGCGAGGTGCTGAAGCTCCATTAATATCGAATCTATTTGCACGAAGGTACCAACTGGAATATTTAAGTTTACACTTTAAATCACACCCCCGAGCGAGTGCCAACGGTGCGAGCGAACCCGGGGGCGGACTCGAGAGGGGATGACGGATGGAGAAATGCCAGAGAGAGACCGAGAGATTAGAGAGAGAAAGAGAGAGAGAGAGAAAAAGGGGCAGGGGAATGAGAAGGGGTGAAAAAGCGGGCACACGGAGCCACCTGTCGCTCCTGTCGCACTGCTGGAGACAGTCTCGGCAAACACTCCGCGACCGCCGCGACGGCGGTTACCAAGCTTTGTTCCGCGAAGAACTCGCTTCGTTATCTTTAAAGCGGAACACCGTCAAGACTGTCTCCCCTCGAGATGACGACTCGCTTTTCGCGAAACGCCTGGGCCATTTTATTTTTCACTAACTCATCCGTCTTTACGGCCCCTCACTGCGCAAGCCCCCCCCCCCCCCCCCCCCCCCCCCCCCACCCCCCCCCCCCCCCCCC